TAAAATTTTAGACAAATGATCCCTGTGTCCTTCTCCCTTGCTGCCTGGGGCTCCATGCTATTTCTATGCAAATAACAACCTCGTGGTTTATATCTTATTATTTCCACTGGAGCTGCAGCGACATGACCTGAGACGTGTAAGGGGTGGTGGGGGGAGTTGATGAGGGTGACGAGAGAAAAAGAGAAAGGGGGGAAAAGGGAGAGAGAGATGGAGTGGGTATTCACTCAAGTGTGAAAAAATACTGTCAGGAGTGAGCGTCAAGAACAAAAAAAAATTGCAGGGATAACGTGTTTATTTCAGTCCCCCCACCTTCAATCCTCCCCCCACCCCATTTGCAAACCGGCACCTTTTAAAATTCATTGGGCATCAGGCGATCATGCACAATCCATCTGCTTTCACTTTATCATTTGCATTTCATGCCTCCTGGCTTTTGATGTGCTGATACTTTGATGCAGTCAGGAGACGCGCATTATCATTATTTCAATTTTCAAAGGGGTCAACGGGATCGGCACTTGCACACACAGATTTTTTTCCCTACAACCTCTGCGCACCCCCTCCCTTCGTATTCTTCACCCCAATGTTTAACATAAAGGATGAAGACTCGAAAAGGTGGGGGTCAAATGTTTGCAATCCTAAAGCTTGCATATACCACCTACATTTCCATTGTATAGTGTTTCAGACATACACAAAGAATTTCTCACACATGGATACTCAGGGAGGCACGCAGAGAAAGAGAGGGATCTAGAAGCAAGATACAGACACAAAGAGAATGAGAGACCAGCACTCATACAGGAAGAGACATGCACTTAAGTGAACTGCACACACCCAGAGAATGTGACACAGAGACTCTTACAGAAAGAAAGGTAAACAATGTGAAAAGTCACCCGTACACACAAAGACAGAACCTGCACAATGAGTCAGAGGAAGCGATCTGAACATGAAGCTCCTGTACAGCTTCCTTTTTCATACCTCATAGGCAAAGGGGCAGATAGGACATTCTTAATGAATTTGCATGTAATTGGGTGTCTTCCAGCAATACAACTCTATACTTAAGAGGCAATGACATGAAAATAGTGAGGCAGGAGGAGCAGGATTAGGTAACCTCTACAACTGATCATTCCCTTCAGCTACAAATGATCATGTCCTTCTGGAAACGAGCATTGCTGGTAAGTTACGGCTGCAGCATTACTTGTCTTTTCCTGTGCAACCGGACCTCTCCTTTAACAAGCAGCCCTGCAGGGTAGGAAGATGGCAAATATAATGAATTTGATTGGAACAATTTAACCAGATTTTAGGGGGAAATTTTCCTATAGCTTTTTAAACAGCACAAACGCAATTCAACTAGCAAGTTTTTAGGCACGCACACAACTCCCCCAAAAAAACCCCAAACCAGAAGCAACACCCCAACAAAGCAACAACAAAACCTTTGCTTTTTGTAATATTCTTTGTGCATAACACAGTATCAGGGAGAAAATAAGAAACTCAGTGTAACATGATATATTTCAAAAACGCGCTCTTTGTTCAGGTATGAGAACATTATGGAAACACAGGTGTCTTCTTTAAATTCCATCCTCACTAATAAAGATACCGACAGTTCTCTTCAACATTTGTTGATATCCTATCCTAGGAAGGTATCTAAAAGAGCAACTTGAAAAAATTGGGACACGGCAGTTTCTCCCACTGTGATAATCTCCTTTACTGGTAGCAGTTCACAATCTTTACTTCTAGGCTCCTCAAAAAAGGGAGCAGGACATCCAAGCTCACCATTTCTTTGGTGAGAAAGGCAAGCCCAGAGAAGGACACGTGAAAGCAGAGAACATGCTGATCACATCAAACCATTCTCATTTCTGACATCCCCAGAAGCTAATTGGACCAATGGACGTATCAACATTTTCTAAATGGGAGTGATAGGATAGGACACTTAATTCCTATCCTTCCACCTGAAGGTCAAGCCTTGATAAAAAGTTTGTGCATGTCTAGTAAACACAATATCCAAGACAATTTAGCATGAATGTAACTCCACCAGCTCAATCACCAAACCATGTAGGAGAGAGGAAAAGGGAACTGAAATTGTAATGAGATCCAGTACTTTGTGTCAAGTACTATGTGCTTTTACTTATGTTTTCTCATTTGATCTCCACAGTATCATTTAAAGGTGTAAATTATCCCCCTTTGACAGATAAAGAAAGCCGAGGAACTGAGAGGTTATATGGTTGTACAAGGTCAGCCAGCTGGCCCCAGACTATTATATATTCCTGGGCTCTAGACAGGAAATAATTTTCCTATCCCTGCAAATAAGTCAGAAGTACATCATCCTTTGTATCTTCAGCTACTTTTTTTATATACATATTTTATTGATTATGCTATTACCGTTGTCCCATTCCCCTCCACCCTGCACACCCTTTCCCACACACATTCCCCCCTTTAGTTCATGTCCATGTGTCATTAAGTTCTTTAGCTTCTACATTTTACATACTATTCTTGCCCTCCCCCTGTCTATTTTCTATCTACCACCTATGCTACCTATTTTCTGTACCTTCTCCCCACTTCTCCTCCTCCCACTCCCCTGTTGCTAACCCTCCATGTGATCTCCATTTCTGTGGCTCTGTTCCTGTTCTAGTTGTTTGCTTAGTTTGCTTTTGTTTTAGCTGTGGTCCTTAATAACTGTGAGTTTGCTGTCTTTTACTGTTCATCTTTTTTATCTTCTTTTTCTTACATAAGTCCCTTTAACATTTCACACAATAAGGGCTTCGTGATGATGAACTCCTTTAACTTGATCTTATCTGAGAAGCGCTTTACTTGCCCTTCCATTCTAAATGAAAGCTTTGCTGGATACAGCAATCTTGGTTGTAGGTCTTTGGATTTCATGACTTGGAATACCTCTTTCCAGCCCCTTCTTGCCTGTAAGGTTTCTTTTGAGAAATTGGCTGACAGTCTGATGGGAACTCCTTTGTAGGTGACTGTCCCCTTATCTCTTGCTGCTTCTAGGATTCTCTCCTTCATTTTAATCTTGGCTAATGTAATTAGGATGTGCCTTGGTGTGTTCCTCCTTGAGTCCAACTTCTTTGGGAATCTCTGAGCTTCCTGGACTTCCTGGAAGTGTATTTCCTTTTCCAGATTAGGGAAGTTCTCCTTTATTATTTGTTCAAGTAAGTTTTCCACTTGTTGCTCTTCCTCTTCCCCTTCTGATACCCCTATAATTCGAATGTTGGAACATTTAAAGATGTCCTGGAGGTTCCTAAGCCCCTCCTCTTTTTTTTTGAATTCTTGTTTCTTCATTCTTTTCTGTTTGGTTGTTTCTTCCTTGTGGTCCACTCCATTGATTTGAGTCCCAGTTTCCCTTCCATCACTATTGGTTCCCTGTGCATTCTCCTTCATTTCACTTAGTGTAGCCTTCATCTTTTCATCTAATTTGCAACCAAATCAACCAATTCTGTAAGCATCCTGATTATCAGTGTTTTGAGTTGTGCATCTAATAGGTTGGCTATTTCTTGGTCAGTTAAAAGTAGTGGCTCTGGGGCTTTGATTTGTTCTTCCATTTGAGCCATTTTTTTTTGTCTGGTCGTGCCTGTTACATAGTGAGGGGTGGAGCCTTAGGTGTTCACTGGGGTGGGGCAACCCAGTCAACCCAGTGGCTGGGTTGTGATGCTGTATGTGGGGGCAGGGTCAGAGAGGGAACAATGGCACTTGCTCTCCTCTCTCTCTCTCTCTCTCTCTCTCTCTCTCGGATTTCAGTCCCCTCTGCCGCTTCCCACCATCAAATTGGGTCCTTCTGGTGCTAATTCCCGGGTGGGTGGTCTTGTGTACATTCTAGGATCCTGTGGGTCTCTCCAACGAATTCTCCTGTGAGGCTGGGAGTCTCTCCTGGCACCTCAATCTCCACAGGTGTCTTCATTTGGTGCTTTTAGGCTTTATTTCCCAGCTCTAGGGCACTGGGTTATGCAGTCTACCTGCACCCCAATGTGTGTCTGTAGTCAGCCGGCCACCTTGCGTGCCTTACTGGGTCTGCTCATTGCCTTCTCATGCTTGGGGTCTGCTAGCCGCCACCTGTGCACTTGGGGTCTGCCAACCGTAGCCTGTGCACCTGGGTCTGCCAGCCATCACTTTTTCCTGCCTCAATCCCTCTCCACTGGCTGCCGACTGCATCCCTCTTACCAGTCTGGATGAATGGCTATCATACAGTTCAATTTTCTATCTGTTCTGGTTGGGTTTTTTTTGTTTGTTTTTAAATTTTTGTTGTCCTTAATTTTGGTTGTGCAAGGAGGCACAGTGTGTCCACCTCCATCTTGGCTGGTAGTCTCTTCAGCTATTCTTAGTTTTCACTCTTATAAGAAATAACATCACCATACCTTTCTAACCCCTCTGGAAAAGTCCCAGTGAGCTTGGACAGAAAAGACATAAGCATTTCTTTTGAAGAGAAGAGAAGCCTCTATGTCATACTCTCCCTGCAATCCATCCATCTACCCATCTTCCCACTCAGGATTTACCAAGTACTTCCTCTATGCACAAGGGACCACGTTACCTGCTCTTTTTTAGAGGTACACTCACAAATTTCTCACGACATTAAAACTTGGTATCTTAAACATGTTCAGAGGATGTTTCAGAGACAGCTCTATGTCTGGAAATAGATCTCATGTCCCTCACTCATAGATGGGAAAAAAGGAGGAAGGGCAGAATAGACGCATTCAATTAATTTTCTTTCTTCTAGAAAGACACACTAGAATGTAAACTCTTTGGAGCAGTTTTAGGTGGTTTGTACATTAACATATCCACAGGACCGGAAACAGTGCCCATCACAAAGTAGATATTCAAAATATTTGTCAAATGAATGAATGGACAAGCAAGCCAGGTAATGGGTAGGGAAGATGGAAGGAAAGGTGAAGAGATAGATCAAGGGAGGCATGGACTGAATGGCTTACTCCCTGTCAGGATCCTGAATCAAGACTTTGCAATAACCTACAAACAGCTTCACATACTTCTCCCAAACCCCAGAAACTTACTTTGTTGAGGGCCCCAGCTCCTGTCAGAATTAAGTGAGAATTTTCAACCTGGATGGTTCTCTGTCCCAGCCGGACAAGGTAAGCACCAATTCCAATGGCTCGGCATGTAACCTTAAAAAAAAAATTCTGCACATCACATATTTACATCCCCTCCCAAGTTGTAAAAACTAAGGCACAGATTTGTAAAACTCACATTAATGGAGAAAACATAGTGCTTTTTGAAGTCTGTTTGATTAATAACAATACAAAACGATAATAATTTCCTGATCAAAGAAGAGAAGGTACAGAACTCGCTGAATGATTCAAGTATTAAGACACTTGAAAGTTCACAGAACCTTTCCTTCCGTTACACTTTTGCCCATTTCACAGATGCTTAGCATCTATAGTAGAGGTGTAAACAAAGAAAGCAGTAAGAGGAAAAGAAATTCAAACTGTTAAAACTTTGGTAGACTATTTGGAGAAATAAATTAAACTAAAGGCTAAAAGGAGGTGCTAGATTTATCTGGGAAATTCAGTTATTTATACTATCCTATCTTCCCATTATCATGCAGAATTAAAATCAAATTGTAGATATGCAATTTTTAAAAAATGCTCTCATTTTGGACTGAATAGCAGTGATGGAGCAAAAAGAAATCTTAGCTACACAGTCAATTCAGGCAAGATTTACCAGGCTAATGGTAATGATCTCATCATAGGCCAACGAGGTTTCCCCAGCAATCATTCCAGAACCTCGAAGGTTCTCTGTTCCAAGTCCCTCTTCCTTTCCAATAATATCGGTTATCTTGTACCTATTGGATACAGACATGCCAAATTATAAAGGTTAAACATAGTAAGAACAATCTCTGAAAAGAATAATCATCATTAAAAGGCTGTTAAAAGCATACAAAAACCATACTGGTAGCTTATATTCAAGTATAACACCAGGGTTCTATATTCTTTATTCATATCTCTTTCCTTTTTAGCTTAGTGCCTATTTTGTCTGGAGGCAATATTGTGAAAAAGTAAGAGCACATCTGGAATTAAGTAGATAGGGTTATATCCCTGCTCTGACACATACGGCAGTGTGATTTAGGGGATAGCAGTAACTCCTATAAAACGGGATAACAGTATCTACTGCTAAGGGTTGACATGAGAGCTAAATTAAAGCAACAAGGAGAGGGCTTGACATGTAGAAGATACTCAGATTGTAAGTGTTTTCTCCTGCTTTCTAGAACAGGTTTCTTAAAGGCAGGGTCAATATATGAGGTCTGTCCAGAACAAATCCAGCTATTGTTAATATTATGAGAATGGTTTGCACAACTTTAATGTAACCTGGCAGCCAAAGGAGAGTGGGCTGAAGTGTGCACGTGTGAATAACAATGACTTCAACGTACTAGTCAGTGAGGGAGGTAGGTGCCATTGAGTGAGCATGTGTACTGTGTGGCCATCACATTAAAAATGACTGAGCAAGTAGAGCAATGAATCTGCATTGAATTTTGGGTTAAACTTGAACACTCATTCATGAAAACTAGTCGGATGATTCAGAAAGCTGCAGCTCTGGGCAACTGGTGATTGGCAGCTTCATCACAACAATATACCTCCTCATGTGTCACGTCTTGTACAGTCTTTGGTGAAACCTCAAATCACCCAGGTGACTCAGCACCCCTCGCAGCCCAGATTTGGTGCCCTGCAACTTCGGGCTTTCCCCAAAACTAAAATCACCTTTGAAAAGGAAGAGATTTCAGACTGTCGATGAGATTCAAGAAAATACAGTGGGGTAGCTAAAGGCAATTGGGGGAACTGTGTGAGGCCCCAGGGTGCCTACTTTGAAGGGGACTGAGGTGTCACTGTCCTATGTACATGTGCCGTGTATCTTCTTCAATAAGTGTCTCTATTTTTCATATTACATGGCTAGATATCTTCTGGATAGACCTGTATATCTCTTAATAATAAGAAATAGCCATTAAATCATCAATTGTAGATAAATATTACATAGGAATAAAAAAATCCAGAGGGGTAGTAAGAATGCTAAGGCTGATTTCTAAAGTTAAAAATCCTTTCTCTTTCTAAGACAGGGATGAAAGGAAAGGTCAAAACAGTGCACTCCCATCCCTACTCCTCTGTAAATATCGAGTGTATGCACGAGGGTTCCTGGCTATAGGCCTCTGGAGGGGCAGGTGGAATGTGTGTAGAAGTGAAATGCTGGCCAAGTTGTCCAGAAAGCATCCTGTGGATCCAGTGGGAGCCACTCATCTGTCTTCTTGGCAGGGGATTAGGAGTGATAGCTGATAATGGGAAATGGGAGATGGGGAATGCAACTAATAAAAGAAAGGAAAAATACAAAGTTGGAAGTAGAGATGGGCATATATTATTTATTGTTCCACGTGTACCCAGAAGGCTTGGCAGAGGGCATAGTTTTATAAATTGAAATAATAAATATCCCATAGTGGCTCTTAAACTACTTTTTTTTGGCCCCCATATTTCTTTGGTCCCTTCTTTCCTTCGAGCCCTCCATCAATTCCTTTCTTTGCCCTTGCTATTCGTCTGTGGCTTTGCATCTCTGCTTCCCAGTTTCTCTTGCCTTTCTATTTTTAGCCTCTACCAAAAAATTCTCTAGTTCTTCCTTTGGCTCTGTATCTAGATTCTACAGTTATGTTACAGGTAAAGCTTAGCTCCCTTAAAGAGATAATTAATGAGCCATATTAAGTTTGTAGGGGGAAGGGAGAAATTAATGTGCTCTTTTTATAAGGCCCACATGCCACATAGTCACAAACTCTCATGGGCCCAATCGGCCTTCCCGGTAAAGCAGATCTTTTCCCTCCTAAGGACTGCATATTACTTCACAGGCATCGGTGATCTGTTAAATGCTATCTTCTTTCATTGTATTACATGAAAAAGAGTAAATGTTTTCCACATTCTGTGCTATGATCTGAGTTTTCTATTATTGAGGCTACCATTCTTTAGTACCAAATTTAATGTTATTTTTATGAAAACCTTTGTACGGTGTAATAGAATTAACAAAACATTCATAAATATCGTTTTTGATTTTTGCAACAAACCATTGTGATAGGTAATACTATGTCCATTATTACAGGTAACGATAACAACAGCCAGGACCTCACATACATTAGTCTGCTTGATCTTCACCTTATAGATGAGGAAACTAAAGCTCAAAAAAGAAAGACAACTTGCTCTAACAAAAGCAATATATACTCTCAATAACTTTCTAAAATACCAGTGATAAAGAGAAATCCATTTAGAGTAGCAAGCAAAAAGGCAAAACATTTAGGAATGAGCATGCAAAAACTGGCAAAATCATACCAAAGCTGTACTGTGCACCAAGTCATCCTGCGGTGCCACAGTGAATAACCAGGGGCCCAAAGGTATTTTAAATTTTTGAGAGAAATACTATGATCTCTGCTGAACTCCACATGAACTACTTGCTTTAGGTAGTTTAGGGCTTAACACTAGATAGTGCTACATTCCTTCTGACAATGTCCTATTGTTACAAACCTATGTTTTCACAGTTCTGTGGGAAAAGAAAAGTTCTGCACAAATTCAATGCAGAACAAGAAATGAGGGTGGCTATGTCTAAGCTGATTTCAAGGTTTTTGAGATGTTGTGCACATGCAAATATTCTATTAGTAAATAACAGTAATTATTAATAAGGAAATTTAAAATTTTTTCAATTGTGTATATTACATTTTTAAATGATTAGTAAGCTGTTAGGGCATAAATACTTATGAAGATACTTAAGAAGTTGTTTGGGTCTAACTACCTAATAAACAGAAATGTTAGGTATAGCTTTTTGTCTAAAGGTGCTACGAGAAAATTGCTGAGACAATAAAAGATTGGTAACCTCTGGCACAAACTACATGAAGAAAACTACAAAACTTTAAAAAATACACTTTCATAAATAAAAAATACCATATTTCTTGCTGGGAAGAGTTAATATAATGAAGGTGTCAGATCTTCCCACATTAAAAACCAAATTCAATTTGAATAAAAAATCATTATGAAGTTTTGTGAATTAAAAAAAATGAGCCATATATAAAAAGCCAAAAATAGCCAGTAAAACTTAGAGAAAAAGAATTCTTAGTAAAACTTAAGAATGTGATGAAATCTGCCCTAGCAGAATGGTTAAAATAGTGTGGCATTAGCCTAAGAGCAACAGAACAAAACACAGAATACAAAGCCTAGTAATTAAGATTACAATAAATGTGAGGAAAGTATGAATTATTCAATAAATGATACTGGAGCAATTGATGAACATTTTGGAAAACACTTGCACATAGATTATAAAAATGTTCAACTTCACTGGTAATCACAAATACCAGTTAAAATAACAATCATTTTTATTCTATTTTATTCATTGACAATAACTGATGTTGGCAAGGGTAGAAAAAAACTAAAGAGGGGAAACAGTTTTATAAACTGCTGGGTGGAGTGCAGATCTTGAGGGCAATTTGAAATCACCAAAAAAAATCTTTAAAATGGACCAGAATTCCACTTTTAGAAATTAACCCAAAGGGAACAGAGATAGTCCTAAAAGTTTATATAACAGGATGCTGAGCCCAGGGATATAACAGTAAAATTTGGAATGGTCTGAACATTCAAATATAATATATTCATTATGATGAAATACTGCTATGACCATAAACAACCATCATATTCTCAAATTATATTTTAATGAAGCTTTTAACTTTTAATGTACTTCCCCAAAATAGTTTTTAGTGAAAAGAACAAATTGCCCTGGCTGGTATAGCTCAGTGGATTGAGCGCGGGCTGCGAACCAAAGGGTTGCCAGTTCGATTCCTGGTCAGGGCACATGCCGGGGTTGCGGGCCAAGTCCTCCAGGGAGGACCACATGAGAGGCAACCACACACTGATGTTTCTCTCCCTGTCTTTCTCCCTCCCTTCCCCTCTCTCTAAAAATAAATAAATAAATAAATTCTAAAGTAACTTTATTTTAAAATGTTAAAAAAAAAAGAAATTAACAAAGGTTTTCCTATTATGACCTAATTATTAGGAAAAATGACACATATATAGAAAAGACAGCAAGAATATAATATACATTAATAATTGTGTCTCTTGGCAAAATAAATGAACAAACAAAATAGAAGGAGACACATAGAACAAAAATCAGACTGATGGTTGGCAGAGAAAATGGGCAGTAGAGGTCTGGGTTAAAAAGGTGAAACAATAAGAACTACCAATTAGTAGTCACAAAATAATCACAGGAATGTAAAGTACCGCATAGGGAATGCCAGGTGGACACCTGAAATATTGGGAGAATCGCCTTGTAAAATATATGATTGTCTAACTACTATGTTTTATACCCAAAGTTAATACAAAATAACACTGAATGTCAACTGTAATTTAAAATATAATTTAAAAAATAAATATGTCTCTCAGTAGGACTGTAGCTGATCGTTATGTTTTAGTTATAATTGTTTACATGTTCTGACTTTTAGAAAATAAATAAATACTATAAATATAACTAAGGTCTTTCAGCTAATAAGTGGTATAGGTCATATACAAAACTAAGGCCTTTAGATAAGTAACAAGCAATCTTGCTCTTCAAGGTCATGATCAGCAAGACGGTGAAGAAAAAAATAATCATATTCTCCTTCCTATAAACCATGGCCAAATTATTCTGATACATATTTACCTACCTGGATTCTCCTTCATCCTCCACATGTTCACAATAGACAGAGTTGAGAGCACTGACTCTCTTATAATCTTGAGGGGTCAGGTATAAATATTTGAATCCCTGTGAAGCACAAATAGTTTTTAACTCATTATTTGCCATCGTCACATAACCAGAAGATACAGCAAAGGATGCATAATGTGGCTTGTTCCAAAGCTGGCTTTAAATTGCCACATCACTTTTTGGAGTTGCTGTCTAACAGAAGGTAGCACAGACAGCTCTCCTCTGAAAGATGGAAGTGCCTATTTCTCCAGTCACTGACTGACTGTCCTTGAAACAAGATGTCCTGCAGCTGCGCTGCCAAGTATAGTCCATTTATTTCATTTTCACCAGGGTTAAAGGGTCATTTTCTGGTTTTTAGTGACACCTATATTAAAGATATCAATACAAAATTAAAGAATTCAGTGAATTGCTGTGTTTCATTTTCTCAAGTCCATAGTATCATAAAAATATATATGGGTATAGGATAATTAAAAGGAATACAATATTAGGATATTCAACATTAAAGTCAGAAGTCAATGCAATGCTAATAACCAGTGACCACTAAACTTCTGCCTTTTGAGTTTTTAAATAAACAACTCATAATTCCTATTTACATTTAAAAAATTATACTGACATTTCAGAATTAATTTATTTTTATACATACAAATACACACTCACATACAAAGTAGAGTTATATAAGTGTATTTAACTTAAGTGAATTAGTCACTCAGCCAAAAAATATGTAAACAGAGAAAAACATTTTAAATATTCTGAGAAATTATGCCCACCATTTAACTCAATTAATTAGAAGCCACATTTAGGCAGACACAGTGAGCACAATATGGAAGGGCCATGAATCTGCCGCTGATTTTGCATAACTTACGACGAGAACACCTTGTAGCACTGAGTGTCATTAGTATGTCAGTCACATATTTACTGAGTACCTATTATGTGCAAGGTATTGTTCTAGGCACTGGAAAAACAGGGAAAACAAAACAATTTCTAGCGGTATGGAATTTATCTTCTAGTGAGAGAGAATATATACAAAATAATTAAAACAGAATGTTAATGGGAATAATATTTAAGAAAAAAATAAAATAGAGAATTGCCAAGAAAGGCTTCATTAAAAGTGTCGTTTGAGCGAAGACCTAAAGAACTGAGGAAAACATGAAGATATCGGGGGACGAGGGGGAAGCACTCTAGGCAGTAGGAACCACAAATGCAAAAGTGCTGAGGCATGAGTATGCCTAGCAGGTTCAGGGTAGAGCCAGAGCATGGAATGAGGTGAGCTGCAGCAAGGAATGAGGGCAGGGTGGTATTGAAAGGCCAATCTATGTAGGGCCTTGTAGATAACTACGTGGCTTCTGGCTTTCACTTGTGTGAGTTGGTAAGCCACTGAACTGTTTTAATCAGAAGGAAGTTCTGAGCCATGATCTGATTTGTATTTTAATTGGATCACTCCACTTTGTGTTGAGAGTAGACTAGGTAGGGGCTGGGCCAAGGCCAAAAACAGGAAGGTCAATTAAGAAACTACTGCAATAATGCAAGTAAGAGATGAGTGCTTTGGACTACCCTGGAGCAGTGGAAGTGCTTAGATGTAGGTGGATTCTGGAAACAGTTTGAAGGCCAGGATGCAAACATGATTTAATAACAGAGTAAGTGTGGGATGTGAGAGCAAGAGAGAAGTCAAGGAAAACCCCAAGGTCTTCTACTTAAATGGAAGAAGAGAGGTACCATTTATTGAGACTATGGGAAGAACAAATTCATAGAGGATTAGAAGCTACATTTAGGCAGACATATAGGTAGAGATGTTGAATATGGATATATGAATCCAAAGATCAGGTACAGGGCATCAATTTGAAAGCTTATCAGTTTATAGATGGAATTTAAAGCTTTAAGACTAGATGAGATCACCAAGGGAAGGCAAATACATTAAAGAGAAGAGGTCTGGAGACCACGCCCTGAAATACCTTCTTTCCTCCTACCCCATCTTGTATATAGGCTATCTACCCTGCCACAGGCCAGGTGAGAAGGACCGGGTCCTGGTGGGTTCAGATTGGAGAGCCTATGACTTCTTGATCCTGCCATGGCCTCTGTGGCTCTGACATCTGTCTCTATTTATTTATTTGAAAAATTGGGATAAAATTCATATAACATAAAATTAGCCATTTAAAAGTGTAGAATTAGTAGTTTGTTGTGCAACAATCACCACTATGTAATTCCAGGACATTCTCATCACCCACCCCCCAAAAAATCCAGTACCTGTTTGTGGTCACCAATAATTTCCATGCACTTTTAAAATGAATTTTACTGAAGTATATAATTTACATGCAATACAATTAATCAGTTTTAAGTGTTGCAGTTTGATGGGTTCTGACAAATGTATATACTTGTATAAGTCACCACCACAATCAAAATACAGAATATTTCTATCATTCCCTGAAACGCTCTTATATTTAAAGTAGAAGGGAAAGGCAGCAAAGGAAACAGGATGGACAGGTAGGAGGGTAAAAGGAAGACTCTGATGTTCTGAAAGCCAAGAGAAGAAAGTATTTCAAGAACGAAAGAGTGACCAACTGCATCAAATGATGCTAAGAAACCAAATAACTAAGCTGAAGACAGATTCACAACAAATTTAACAATGTAGAATCACTGGTGACTCTGACTAAAGCGGCTGCATCAGAATGGTGAGGATGCAAGCTTAAATGAAGTGTGTTCCACGGAAATGGGAGAAGAGTATCTGGAGACAGCAAGAAGAGACAACCCTTTTAAGAAGTTCTGTTGTAAAGGGAAGGACAAAATAGGGTGGGGTAGTAACTGAAGGGGTAAATATTTGTATGCTAAAGGGACAGACCCAGTAGAGAGGGGGAAAGTGATGGTACAAGAAGGGGGCGGGGGTTACTGATCTACATCTTTAAGTTGGCAAGAAGGGAAAGGTTCAGTGAACAAGAGAAGAGACTGGCCTTAGATAGGAGCTGGGACCCTTCACCCAAAGTTACAGGAGAGACGGTGGAGAATAAGGGCACAGATGCAGACATGTGGGCGCTCTGGGAGGCTATCTTCTAATTGCTTCTGTTTTCCCAGTAAATTAGATAGCAAGGTCATCAATGCAGAGTGATGATGGGAGAAGACTGTGTTAGAGGTTTGAGGAGAGAGAAGGAGATACAAAACTGTCATTCAAAAGGTTGGTAAGCTTGAATTGAAAGTAAGGCCAGTCAATAATAGCACTTTGTGTATTTCTCTGTCAATGTTCAGCCACGTAGGTTCAGGTATGGGAGCATATGGAGAGAGCTGGGTTTGAACAAGGTTTTTGTAAAGGCACAAAGTAAGCAGAATGAAGAGAGAAGAAAAAAAGTTGAGGGTGTAGGAAAGGTAGTGACTATAAAGTGATAAAATGATTAACCTTGGAATTTAAGCTGGATAGGAATAAAATGAAGATGTAAGGAAGGAGTGAGTCAGAGCAGAAATGTAGTAGGATCAAGAGTTGCAGATCCTGGTGTGTTCAAAGCACTGTTGGACTTGGGGTACTGAAGAGAGTGAGCTGGGAAGATAGGACGGAGGAGCAGCAAAGAAAGGGATGCTAGAACTTGACATTACGTGGAATGAGAGGCTGAGATGGGATGGAGGAAGGGACCATTGGAGGAGAAAAAGTAAGATTATGGGATCGATCATTAATGCAGACATAGTAATCACAAAGAATTACAACCAGACTAGTGGTATTGCAGAGATAACAATGGACCAGCAACTAAAAGATGAAAAAAACAAGAGGGAGTGACTAAAGGCGGAGGAACACTACAATAAGGAACAGTGCTAATATGGTACATTGTGATGACGTGGGATTCAAAGACGGAGGTTTTCAGAGAGAAGAGTGGGGGAAAAGGGTGTGGAAGTAGCAGTGAGGCATCAGGAAGACACTCTTCCCCCTCCAGGTTCAGTGATACCAGGAGAAGAGAAATCAGTCGCTTCTTGATAGGGTAGTGTCTTTAAAGGGTAGGCAGGCTTCAAGCAAAGTAAGAAGGCCGGAGTACAATCAGAGAGGAAGCTGAGGATATAAGAGATTTTGCTGCTGACTGACTGTAAGTCCCAGAAGCCATGATGGAATAGTTTAAAGATACATATTTTTGGCTTAGTATGTCTCATGCTAAGTGCATACCTACTATTTCACCTAATGTTCAACCAAAAAAATCAGCAATCCATTTTTGGAGGCGGAGGAAAAATCAGGTGAATGTAATGAGAGACAATTTGTTTTCAACATGGTTCACCCAAAATACTGACTTTTGAACTTAAACCTTTACCTCTCCCCACTTCTCTACACATGAATACACATACCTATGCATAACCATAGAGTGTCATGAAGTAGTATGTTTTCCTAATCTGTACCTTGTAAGGATCCTCAGGATCTACCCAGGCCACATGAAACATATGACGAATCTCCTCTGCCAGTCCAATTCTTGCTCCACTGTTGGCTGCTACGTAGATACGTGGGATTCCCTCTGCCCTGGCAAGCTCAGAAGCTCTGAGAAACAGCAAATCCTCCTGGGGCCCAAAGGACCCAATTTGGTATGTGATGTCATTGCCAATAACAACGATATCTCGACCTTCTGGATATTCAGGACTTTTAAGGGTCATTTTCCAAGCTACCATGCCAATCTGCAAAAGTAGAAACAAACAAACAAATAAATACAAGCTTCTTATGTGCAGATTTTTTTTTCCTGGAGGTTCCTTAAAGGTATCCAACACTGTCCTCAGGTAAAGATAAGTATTTGCACTGCTAAAGAGCCAAGCTCCCTGTGGGTAACTCGAACAAACATTCTAACACACTTCTTTAGATTGTGTTGAGAACAGCTGGTTTACCGTGCATTTCAGTTGTCTCAACTCCATCTTTGGGCCTGCTCAGAGAAGGTGAAAAAGTGAAAGCCGAAATGTACTCAGAATACCTGTGGTAGAATGCTGTGGAACTGGGATTTAAATCCAGAATTGTGAACTGACCACCCTGTTTACTAAATACTTCATTTTTTTTTTAAATTCTTTCCAAGAAACTTTCAACATATGAGAGAGCAGGAGAGAATCGCCAATCATGGACTGTATAACTTTTGTGATTCTGCATCCTTTTACTGTCCTCTAGCATTTGATAGGAATAATAGCACTATTCTTTACTGGCTTGCTTCAGGTATCTCACATTTCTGCAAGAATTTACCATAGCTCAACATCGCATCCTTGTGAGTATCTCTTGTCACTTTCCCCCAGAACCAGAAAACCAATGGATGCAAGGAACTAATCTCTTGCTGCACTGTGACATATGTAAATCTCTGCTTTCTGTTCAGCAGCATCTGACCAGCCACACAAATAAATGATATTGACTTAAAAGCCAGAGGTGGCATATCTCTTCCCAAACCCTCACAGCCCCCTCCTTTTAATCTCTTTCTATATGAGAACTAGTCAATCCTACTACTTGTTTATTTACTAGTTCTATTTTTCTCTGTTCACTCACACTCCAGTTACAGCTGCAGTTCTTCATGTCTGCCTGTCTGTTTCCCTATACCCGAATAAGTAATGTTTCCATTCTCCACCCCCCACCCCGTTTCTTTCTGTCTTCTCTCCCTTCCCACCCCCCAGTGCTCGCCCCCAAACACAAAGCCCACCAGATGATCATTCCTGGTCCTGCCTAATGGAGCCCAGCGACATCTGCAGCCTTGGTCCCTCATCCCCAGGCTGCTGCATATCACCTCATTGGGGAGCCGGCCATCAAGAAGGGCCATTAACAGATGTAAATAGCAGCATCCCTGGAAAGCCACATGCATCACCCAGACTCAACCGGGCCAGTGATCATAAGCTCTGAGTACACATTCCTCAATCCAATTGCACATCCACTGTAATCAGGCCGGTTGAAGCTTTTCACACAGCTATTTGTGATTCTCAGCATTAAGAAATATATATACGAAGTACCCACAGATAAATATAAGCTATTTAATATATTATACCATTGGCAAAATACAAATCAAAACGAATATAATACACAGAAAAAATCCAATTATTTTCTGAGATCAGATATCACTCTATCTGCTCATTAAAGACAGAAAAAGGAAGGAGAAACAGATTATCAAAAAAAAAAGCAAGCAAATATTAGGATAATTTTAGTCATGATATTAAGAAGCTGGTTAATATTATATAACTCCTGTGCGGGGAGAAACATTTCACCTGCCTTCTCACACGGCCCTCTAACCCGACATCTCCTTTGTTTTTCAGGAAGAAAAAGCTATTTCCTCTAAACGCATTTGTAGTTAGGAAGATGGCATTTTACACCAAATTTTATGATATATTAACTTTGGCCACCTAGGCCAGAAGCGGCTTAGATGCAAGCCCTGAAGAATTTACTTCAGCATTTGCATGCTAATGCAAACATTGTGTCTATGTGGCACTGGGCAGGCAAATAATACTCTTATCTTTTGTTATTACCTGGGGACTCTAACTGTGTCACTTGGGCAGTCAGTTCAGCAACTGGCCAAGTCATTATGTTTGCAATATTGACTTCTAATTAGGTGTCAACACAGCAGCACCAAGAACACACGAGTCTTTATCAATGTTCTTTCCAAAGTGTATTCCTCATCGACCACCCCCTCCCCCTTTAAAAATGTACCAATACAGAATGGAGTGTGCTCGCCCAGTCTTAGAATAGCAAGATTCCTTATTAGAAGAGATTAAGTTTTGAGTAAGCATAATGAACAAACAAACATCTAAGAAAGCATCTATTGCTCAATTTACATTAAATTTAGATTTTAATGTGAATCAAATGACGGGTTGTGTAATGGTGGACTTGGGCTTTGAGGTCAAGCTTGCATCCACATCCAGGCCCTCTCACTTATTAACTGTGTGATTTGTAAAAATGACTTTACTGTACTTCAGCGTCCCCAAATATCAACTTAATAATACCTATGGCTCCGATGTACAAACTGTTAGAAGCAGCAATTTATTACACTAACTTTAACATACAAACTTTTGCTGCTTTCTCTCCTCTCAAATGGAACGGGTATCTAAATCTACCCATTCAAAAAAGGTTCATTAGAATTCCTTTTCCTCAGTAAAGCTTCCCGTAGCCTAAAGTAACCCCTTTCTTCTCTGATCACCTACTAAGACCTTTGTGTAAAGAATTTATTTGATAATTCATCATATACTGCCTAGGACTGCTTTTAGCTTGCCAGCTTGAACCATTATATCATCTCTTCCAGTGTCTAGCAGGCTCCCTACACGTAATATGGGAGTAATAAATATTTGCTCATTCCACAGTCATTTCATTTTTAAAATGATACTTGGAAAACAGTCCACCATCAAGGGCTTAGAATACTGTCCATGACTTATCTCTAGGGATTATGGAATAATAGTCCTAAACATTAATCACCTACTGGTATTTATTTTTTAGTATGAAGAATAGCTGCCATTAATTGAACATGTATTACATGTTGACAAATACTGGTAGTAGTTAAAAGTTTAAGCTGGACCTGTCTTGGTTCAAACCTCAGCTTTATACAATTATAAAACCTTAGACCAGTCACTTAACCTCATATATAGTCACAATTTTTTCAATTATAAAATGGTGATAATGGTATCTTTCTAGAGGGATTGTTGTGATGAACACCAACCACATCAGACTGGTACAGAGGCTGGCTTATAAAAGTCCTCTAACAATAGCTATTGTTATTAACTGAAAAGCAGCTGTTGCTATTGCCATGAGAAAACCAAGGCACAGAAAAATTAATTTGCTCTTATAGATATTATGAATTGTTTATTTTTAAAAATAAGGTTTGCATAATTCCTTTTTTGGAGAAATCAGGAGAGTGTGATCCAGACTAGTACTACTTCACTTAGCTGAAACCCTGTGAAAAGATAAATATGAATTATAACACATGCATAAATGTCACTGACATCTAAACGCACAATATGGTTTCTGGATTGGATCCTGAAACAGAGCAAGGGCATTAGTAGAAAAAACTGGTGAAATCCAGAACAAAGTGTATTTCATTTAATGGTATTATACCAATTAATTTCTTAGTTTTTATAATTATACTATGGTATATAAAATTATATAAATTATAATGATATAATTAATATAAGGTTTACATAAACCAATTATATATGGTTTGTATAATTATTTAAAATGTTAACATTAGGGGATGCTGGGTGAAGGGGATATGAGAACTCTCTGCACTATCCTTGTAACTTTTCTGCAAATTGAAATATTTGAAGACAAAGTTAAAAGAATAAATACCATGTTAAAAACATTTTTGAAGGGAACTAAATTGGCTGGTGAGGTCGTTGCTAGTGTTCTGGAGACCTTGTAAGATAATGGCTATGAAGACTACAAATAGCATTTTTAAAATGCCTACGAAGTACATGTGAAGAAGTGGCATAACAAACTTCATGTAAACGGTATTAACAAAATAATAGTTAAAGGGCACAGACTCAGAAGCCAGATTATAGATTCAGTTAGTTTTATAGCCACATAACCTTAGGTAAGTTACTAACCTCTGTGCACCTCAGTTTTCTCATCAGTAAAGTGGGGTAATAATAACCTACTCTATTAAATTGGGGAGGATTAAATACATGGTACACCGTAGAATAGTACCTGGCACACAGTAAATGCATGGTAAGTATTATGACACTTTAACTAAAAGCATGTTGGGGTAAAAAAACAGAAATAAAGAACATAGCAAAATGACATAATAGTTACCTTAGAATGATGGGACTATGGGTTTTTTTCCCATTCTCCAAATTTTCTTTAATATGTTTGTACTGCACTGATAATGTAAACATTTTATAAAATAAAAAAGTAATTGAGACAGGACTACCAGGTAGCTCTTTATTGGGTGACAGGTACATGGGAGCTTCTGTTACTATCTCGAGTGTACATCTGAACATTTCCATAATTAAAAAAGAATCTCACCAGCCTAATGGATTTTTCATATTTTATAAGAACAGACTAAATTTTAGTCATACAACAGGTCTTATTTTGCAATATCAGAGAGATTTAAACATATGAAAATTAAGATCAGGACTCGTCTCAAAGGGAGAAGAACATCGGGAACTGCCTTAGTTCGTTGGGGTTATCATTTCACTTTTTAAAGAAGAAATGCTCTGCACCGATGTGGTTGAATGTAAACATATGTATATATAGGTTTATACAATATTAATATCTCTACCTGAGAAGTAACTGCTTCAGTGTTTTTCTGGTCTGATGGTTAAATACATATTTATACTTTTAAAGTCAATATTTGTACGATAGACAAGAACAGTGCCTATCAGCTAAATACATATTTAGGACTGTACCACATGTATTACAAACATGTACTAAAATCGAAAGCTTATATTTATACAGAGCCTTTCATCTTGAAGGGGGCTAAAGAGCTTTACAAACATATGTACACAACAGGACGTTTGCTCTGATAGGCAGACAAGGCATCAGCTCACCCACGCCCCTACTCCTTCCCGCAGGCTGGGGCAGGAACGCACAGTGCCAGCAGCTGCAGGTCTGCCACGCTGTGAGGACGTGTGCCACCGCAACCGGCGCGGCTATGCACAGCCCCCGACAGAGGGTTTCCCTCGGAGGGTAGTGACTACTCTCCTCAAGCGCAGAAGCACCACAGCCGTTTCCAAAT